TCCCCCTCTGTACCCCCCAAAAAATCCTCTTACTCCCCTCTCCCCCCCTTCCCACCGTCAGGCGATAAATAGTGACTGGTTTCTTAGGGAGGTCATTTTTTTTTTTCGCGATGTACTTCTTCTTTGCAATATGGTGTACAACTAATTACAAAGGGCCTCCTTTTAGTTGACAGGTAAAACAAATTGACCCTGGCGGTGAACTGTTTTCTACGTGAGCAGCAAATCGTTTTCCTGTGATTTAAATTTTTTATGAATCTTTAAAGAAGTAAGAAAGGGGCGTGTATCCCGTAAGTTTACCGACTGCACCTAGAAGAGTATTAAAACTATTGCCGTCCATAGAAATTGATCATAATTGTTGTATAAATCTATAATATTTGTCAGATGTTTAAATTATTTCATATTTTATGAAAGAATGAACGCTTATCGACTCAAAAAAACATACGTTTTAGATACTGATCATGGTCGATTTCAATTTGTACAGGATAGAGCGAAGAATTATTATGAAGCGATGTAGATATATTTTAAGAGGATGGAAAGTCGAAAAAATCCTAGGAAAATTTGTTAAGGTAAATGTCGGGACCGTTGTCAGTATCTGAGCAAATAAGAATCCAAACCTTCCCCAATCGAACAGCAAGGGGAGGGGTGGTACTCAGTTGCTAAGATACCGACATCGATGCATATGTCGCCCGTGTCTTGTTCTCCAAAAAAAGAAAAAATGGACGAAAAATGTTTTTGGGCGAAAATATGTTGCCCAATGTTAACAGTGCTTTTCTTTTCATTTTGAAAAATTTGACCATACTCGTTAATTTAGATTTGGAAAAGAATTGAGGCCACGGTTCTTTTATAGTTCTTTGAGAGAAGGAACAATGACCTTCATTACGAGGCTAGTGTTGAAATATTTAGTACTTGAGCTAAGGACTTAAATTTATCTAATAATATAATTGAATTCTATAATTCAGATATACGATGTTTATTATGAAATCAGCCGACGATTACATTTATTTGTTAGACATTTATAACGATTAATTTATTTCTAGAGATATATTACAATGCACTACAAATCGTTCTATAATTTTATTTCATTTACATGATCATATAATTTGTAAGTGAGCTGTTAACCAAAGTCGCAAAGAAACATTCCAAAGCTTGTGACGCCCGTGTAGATTTTTTTTTCACAGAACCATTGGGGGTTAGTTTCCTTCCAAGCTGTTCTTAGGCTTCTTACGCAACGCTCCTCGTTCGTAGCGAGAGATTCCCAAGAACAGCTACGAAGGAAACGAATTAGAGACCAGTCATTTTTTTTTTTTTTTATTATTTCATTTTTGGAAGGAAGTGGGAATATTGAAATATTTTGTCGACGATCGTTCTTTTCTACGTTTTCTTTCGTGCGAAAATTTTTGTTTTCCAGTTGCCACTTTCTGCCCACCAGATTTTCATCTACCAATGAGTTTTTCTCTTTAGCGAGCAATTTTTTATATTTTTAAATCTCCCCTCCCCCCGTCCAAAAAAAAGATCACTCTATTGAGTTAGAGCACCTTTACTGCTGTTATCCCGGTGCGATCTCCGGAGCTGTTTTTCATTTCTCCATACGCGCAGGAATAATCCCCTAAACTTTCCGAAATGACGTCATTGGCGCGATTTATACTGGAGACGGATCATCGGGTTAGCTCAATGGTTAGCCTCCCTAATCGGTTAGCTCAATGGATAGACCGCTGGACTGCGGTGCGGGAGGTCGAGGGTTCAAGCCCTGGCCGGACCAACACTCAGGGTCTTAAATTAATTGAGAAGAATTTACTGCCTTTCTATATAACGTCAAGAATTGGTCAGATATTCTGGTCTTCTCGGATAGGGGCGAATAAATGGAGGTCCCGTCTCCTGCAGGGTTGGGGTAGGAGACGTTAATTTTCCACACACGAGATTACTGTGTGATGGATGTCCTCCCCTGGGGTGGGATGGGTGGGTTCATTGGGCCCGCAGTAATCGGCACAAGCTGCTGCGGTGTCCCTGCCGGTTGGCGAAGCTAAATAAAATAAAATAAAATCCGTCCAGACGGATCATCCGTCGAGAAGGTTCATCCGTCTAGTATAAATAAGCGAAGGACTATGAGACGAACTATCGGTGTGTCGTGTGACTCGTCCCGTGTTTTATACTGGGACGAGTTTTCTGAACGGATTTCCGAGAAAGCATGCACAACGATAAGGCTTGGGCACTAGTCAAATGTTTTAGTGCGGCATTGGCAGCAAATTTCAAAATGGCGGCAAGGACACTAGTGTTTTTTTCTCCTCTGCTAACACAAGCGCAAGGTATTTAATTTCTGTATTCGTCCATACACTTTCTTTTTTTGACTTTCTGGGCTTGTACGAAACATCATTTGACTTGTCCGCCATCTTGAATTGATAGTTTATTGAAAACAACCGCTGGCTTCTTGTAACGAGGTGTAGTTTTCGTGGATAATTCGTTTTCTTCCTGCATTTATACNAAGTACTGGAGCAAGTGGGGACCCCATGGCAACCCCATCTATTTGATCATAAAACACACCTTTAAACAAGAAACCAGTCTCAGCTGTTGCGAAGGTAAAAAGCGTTTTTAGGTCAGCGGCGTTTATCTTAAGACCAGGGTTACCTTGATAAATGTATCTGATCGCCAGATCAATGCATTCATCAAGAGGTATACTAGTGAACAAATTCTCAACATCGAAAGATACCATGAACTTCCCTGAGGTTGATAACTGGTTGATTTCATGTACAAAGGAAAACGTGTCGCGAACGTAGTATTCACGCGGGACATGTGGCTCTAGAAGATTACAAAGGAACTTAGATAAATTGTAATTATAGGGTACCTATTGAAGATACTAAGGGGCGAAAAGGAGGTCTTTCATTAGGCTGCCGAGCCTTGTGCATTTTAGGTAGCCCATAAAACCTGGCTAGTTGAGAACCAACTGGAAAGATTCTCTCATAGGTATCTTTGTCTAAGTGGCCCTTATTTTTAAGCGCTCTTAAAAAACACCCTCTCTTTGTTAATGAAATAGCGTTTCACTCTGAAAAAAGAAGGCAATTCGACATTTCACTGGTAATGAAAAGGGTGATTCATCTCCCATGTGTCTCGGTGGGTGAACTTTTTCTGCACGAGCTCGCACGTGTGGTGGGTTGAGAATTTTCTTCTGCACCTATGACTGAAGCGGAAGTGAAACTATTACCGAAGCATTTCAAGTAACACGATCAAACCACGCGATCTCACGCGATCTCACGCGATCTAGTTTTATCAGATGTTCGTTCCCAGTCGCTCCCTGTCGTTCATTCAAAAAGCACTGCGCATAAAGTTGCTATTATTACTGCTGGTTGTTACATAAGCACAAGGAAAAAAATTCAAAGAGCATGGCGCTTGAAGAAGTCAACTCCCAGACGGAATTTGATAAAATCTTGGGCAATTCTTCAAGGTGAGTCCATGTCCTATATTTTAACCTGTTTGTAGTTTTTTTCTCTGCGTATATAGTGAAACCAATATTTCTGACGAGATTGCTGCAACATAGTGAAGATCATGTGTTGTTCTGAGACGAAACTAATCGAGATCGGTTGCATGTTGTAAGCTGAAATAAAATAGGAAATGCTCAGTTTAATTTTGGCTCACTCGTCGCGATCAACCTCATTCATATAAGGTAATTTCAGAAGACACTTTTTGCCGTTTAAATTAAAGTTAAGCCTTACAAAAACTTTTAGCTTCGAACTATCTTGACAACCGAAAAGCCCGAATTAAATGCAATAAACAATTTTAATTTTATTCAAGTACGATAATTTTTTTTTTTAACCCGAAAAAAACTACTTAGGTGTGGTATTTTTTTAGTGTACAAAGTCCGTTTCTTCCTATTGTTTAAATATTTTAATGTAGACTTGATTGTCAGGTTTAAGCTTTATTGATTTGAAGCTTACCCAAAATTCCGGAAGATCATTCTTAATATTCAATAATCATGGATGAGGAAAGTAACAGAGGCATAATTTGTCAGCTCTTTCGGTTTATGTTCACTAGAATTTTACTGTGAACTCAAATTATCATATATTGTTTGAAGGTCTCCGTTTTTAAATAGAAAATGTCAAATACGTAGTTGTAATTAATTTGTTGTGGCATTATGTCCGTTATTTTAAAGCTGTCTGCTTTAAAAGCTTTGTTTAATGTTTTTCTCACTTTATTTACAGAAAAGGAATACGAAAATAAAATGTTTTACTGTAAGGGTGGTGCTTCATAACTTATGCACACGTGAACATGTTTATAAAGCATATTTCATGTGGAAGGAATGTGGAATTTTTGTTTGGGTCCGATCTTGAAGCCTGAATTTGTTACATGCCATCTTTTTTTTAAATTGTTTTTTTTTTCTGTTGATGATAGGATGACTTTGGAAAAGAGGGTTTTTTTTCCATAAGACTAGCCTATCTGCAGAGTATGATAGATGCATGCACAATTTTTCCCTTCTTGCTGCACATTTCATGCAGCAGAATTGCCTTTGCATCAAAAGATCTCGTCAAGTTCTGTCTTACTCTGCAGACTAGGTAGGGTGCTTTGTTTTATGATGCATGAAAAAAATGTATCATTGCTGCACATATAACTGATAAAGTAGTGCATATTTTTACCCAAGTAGTATTTAATAAAAATCCCTGTCTATTGTTTTTAATTCTATTTAGTGCTCTTACTGTGGTACATTTCCATGCACCATGGGCTCCTCAATGCAAACAGATGAATGAGGTGATGACAGAGTTGGCAAAGGAGAACTCACATGTCAAATTTGTGAAGGTTGGTGCCGTTGTTCGACTGTCCCAAGGGAGTGGTCATTGTAAATTACAGAAGGGGGGGGGGTGTGTAGAGAATTTTGTTTGTGTCAAGATGGCATTTACCTGATCACCCCATAAGGCTCTTTAAATTCGTATGATCCCTCCACCTCATTGCAGTTAATTGGCAGTCAATCTTCTTGAGTCCCCCCCTTTATAATCTGTTGGCAAAGACTGATTCCCTCTCCATTCCCCCTGAAAACCATGTAATCCTCTCCTCTCCAAAATCCCTCTTCCCCCCTTTAAGTAATAAATAATGACTGACTCCCAAGTGAGATGTACTGACACAATTTTTACACTGATAAACTCCTGCAAACACAGCACACCTGTGCTACCCGCCTCCCGGTTAGCTCAATGGATAGAGCGCTGGACTGATGTGCTGGAGGTCGAGGGTTCGAGCCCTGGCCGGACGAACACTCAAGGTCTTAAAATAATTGAGAAGAATATGCTGCCTTTCTATAACATCAAGAAGTGGTTTAGATATTTTAGTCTTTTCAGATAGGGATGAATAAATGGAGGTTCCATCTCCTGCAGGGTTCGGGGTAGGATACGTTTAATTTCCCACGCACGAGATTACTGTGTGATGGATGTCCTCCCCTGGGGTAGGATGGGTGGGTTGTTGTCTTGCATTTCATACATGAGCCTCTGGCTCAGGCAATATGGGTAACCATGCCCCACGTAAAGACATTAAATTTTGACTACTATTACTATTATTATGCTGATTTCAATAATCAATAGATTTATTGTGCCTAACCAACTTTCCGTCCCACACATTTTTGTCTGTAGCTTGAGGCTGAGAATCTTCCAGAAGTCTCCATTAAATATGAAATAAGTGCAGTTCCAACATTTCTCCTTTTCAAGGTGAGTAAAACAGAACCCTTCACACTCTAACATCGCTCTCATGCATATTCTCCATCTTGTTCTCTATGTATTTCATAAGGTGATAACAAGGAAAAATGTGTTTAAAAATAAAGAGCCTCTTTAGTTGGTGAAAGGTATAAAGACAACCCAATCAGATTGGGTTGGATTTAAGTCATCCCCCCCCTCCCCTTATAGTAGTCATTACCACCCAAGTTAATTGGATTGACCCTTTCTCTCTTAGGAGCAATCAAAAATAATTCACTACTCGTAATATCAATATTTTTCTCAGCAAAGAGGTGACAAGAAGAAATAAAAATATCAACT